ATATATTAAAACTTTTGTCACAACTTTTTGAAAAAACTACTGGTCTGAATTCTAAAAGGTCTGAAAGATCACACTCTTTTTTGTATGCAAACGTTTCAAAATTTGCATATTATTTGCCATAAACATTTTTTCTATGAAAGCCATCAAAATACCTTCGTAACAAAAGTTTTATTTTTGCATGAAGAACAATTACTGAAAATATTGTGGGAATTGTTTATAAATTTAAAAAAATTGGTATGCTTTTTTCGTGTTAAAAACTGTTGAGACAAAAACAGCAAAAAGTAACGGAAAGTAGGTCACGAAAATACCATTTCTGTGTAATTTGTTAACCGATTGTAAGCTTTGGGTGTTTCCAAGATTATCAAAATACATTATAAAATACATAAGAAATCCAGCTTTCCAATGATGCCAAATACTACATGATGACGGATATTAAACTAAACGCAGAGAGCTTGATTATTTTTAATTAACAGGGCCATGAAAATGGAAGTTTAAATGCATTTAAAAAATGTATCATTAAAGTTATTATTTTCTTAATACAAAATGAACAAAGTATCCAAAAATGCAAGATACCCATTATGACGGAAAATCAGGATTTTTGTGATTTTTTAATGCAAATATCCCCTTACGTCAACAGAAATATTTTTAAAACAAATACTTATTGACATACATCAGGGGTCGGCAACCTTTTGAGACGAAAGAGCCAAAAGTTACAATCTACAAAATTTCCAAATCTTTAAAGAGCCACTAACATTTTTATCTGCCCTTCGGTAGTGGATAGCATGGAACCATTGCCACGGGGCTGGCTACAGCACCCTACTTCACCTATTCTCATTATTTTTTAAAATTTGGTTTAAAGTTTTTATTTTTATTTTTACAGTATAATATTTTTTGAATTTTGAAAATAAAATAATATAATTATTATGGAACTGGGGAGCCGCAAATCAACATCAAAAGAGCCGCATGCGGCTCGCGAGCCGAAGATTACCGAGCCCTGACCTACAGTAGGACAATATTAATAACACTTAGTCTTAACATTTCATCGAATTATATTTAACGTAAATTAATATAATATATACGTCAAGAAAAAAAAGAATTAAATATCTATAATATAAGCGGGCTGTGGTGTGACAGTCCTTCCTTCCTTCCTTCCTTCTGCCATCGCTATAGCTTTTGGAACTGTGCTTTTCAGTGCACCGCAGTGTCTTATTATAAATATTAGAGTAGGGTTTGTTTATATAGCGGCATAGAGCTATTTTATAATTTCCACTGTGTTTACTCTTTTGCATAACTTAAAGAAAATATTAAATACACGCACATTTCTAAAACATATTAAAAGGATCAATGTCAAATATCATTTTCGTTTATATTCCTAGAAAAAGTGGATACATTTTAATAACATAATAACAGTACGGTAGAAAAAATCAAATTAATTTAACTCTTTTCTAATTTTGACAAAGGAGGTAATTTGAAAATACATTAAACTCACGCTAATAAAAAATGTGAATGCAAATATACGTTCGTCATAGAAGGAATTAGTGTTGCAATAATATAATTAGCAAAATGTGAATGCAAATTATTCGGATGTGTAAGAGGAAATTATAGTTAGAAAATTATAATTAGCATGGATTGATAAAAGGCAATCTTTTATTTATTTTATTCACTGAATGTAGGCCCTACCGTTTATTACTTTTAATTTTTAATCAACTATTCAGCACTATTATAGACGCGTCATCACGTTAATTAGGTGCGCAATGGTTTTAGTTATGAAACTCTATTGTAAATTTTTAAAATTTAAAGTACTGGAAAAAAATGCGTGAATGGATAAAGTGAAATATTGTAGGTAAAACACGGATATTTTAATTACTGCCTATTATTTATGCTGATTTCTAATTATTATTCTATCTTTCGGGTTTTATAGGAGAGGCGTAGCGAGGGGGGTATATGTCCCCGGGGGCCGACCTTAGGGGGCGCCAAAGTGGGTTGGAAAAAATTTGCGAGGGGGGGGGGGGGGTGGTGGAAATCGAAAGTTTTAGGGCGAGGGGGGGGGGGAAGGGGTGCAAATCGAAAGTTTGAGGGGGGTGCAAATCACCGGAAAGGGCGCGATTTGGCGCTACGGGCTAGACTGTGAGCAATATGCCTGTATGATTGCATTTAAATTGTGTTTATGTTATGAGTGTTGTGTTTGTTTTTTCGTTTTTTTTTTTGTTTTTTTTTTTTGCGTTCGTTTGTGTTGTGTTTAGTTTTGTTCTGTTCCCAAGTTGGTACATTTAAAAAAGATTTACCGTGGCGGAGCACGGGATGCAGCTAGTATTTATATAAAAATGAAAGTATGTTTGTGGGTTTGTCCTTTATGCACTACTACACCTTTCATCCAATCGCCACAAAAAATAAAAAAATAAAAAATTTCGCATGGACGGCACCCGAGCAGGGTGTGACGCAATTGTTCTCTATATACAGTAAATAAAATGAAAGTCGATTGCGGCTTGACACCGCTCATCCGATCGTCCTAAAACTTTGGAGAGTTCTTGAGAACATTTCGAAAAGGTTTCTGCAAACAAAAACAATTAAAATTGTTTATGGGCGGCGCCTGTAAGGATGCGATTTTTGTCAATATATGGTTTGGCGCCTAGAGTTCAAGAGTGGCTACTTTAGCAAGTGGTATCCGTTAATTCGGCGCCCTGCATCGCTGTCAAAATGCAACAGGCGCAGCCGCCAGCGCCCCGTCGATTGCGTGACCCGAAGCGCCCCTTTGAACACTTTTGAGCCTACGTTCGTTTTGTAAAAAAAGGTTAAACACTAAAGGGACTAAAGACATGATGGGAAACAATAAACGTGACTATATCGAATCAGGCGTGTCTCCCGGCAGGGACCAATTTGGCGCCCCGTGCTCACCCAAGTATGCCTAATATATATATATATATATATATATATATATATATATATATATATATATATAGTTTTTTACCCTAATATTGTTAATATTTATACTTTTGTTTCACAAGTCTAAGAAAGAATATAATTTTGCATTGAACAATTTAATACGTTTTAACAATGAGCAAATTATGTAATATTTTCGTTTGCAAAGGAATCTGAGTAATAGGATAATGTTTGTGTTCATTATGCTCCGCGTAATGTATTGTATTGTGTATCTCAGTTCAACTACAGTGGTGAAAGATCTGTAGAAAAACAAATAAACCCGTTTTACGCTATGACGAACACAAACTGGTTGTACCGAAGAGTGACCGACAAACTAATATATATATATATATATATATATATATATATATATATATATATATATATATATATATATATATATATATATATATATATATATACCTTTCATTCGATCACCACAGAGCTTTTTGAAGTTGTTGGGAATACTTCAGTAGAGGTTTCTGCGATACAAACATTTGGGAGGGGTGGATCTTCGGCAGTTGGATGATGTTTGGCGCCCAGCGGCTATCTTACCACCAGGGTTTGCATACACTAACTACGTCTGCTGCCATAAACTAGGGACACGGTTGGCTACTAGACTCTATAATCGTTGACTAATTTGAACCACCTAGGCGGTCGGCGTGGTCTGTTCTACCTCGCGTTTATAAAGACCTCCGTAGTTTGGCTATTTAAGTGTGTATTATTTTCGCCCACAATTCAACTATTTATAGTTGCTTTATTCAAAGAAGCGCAATGATTCATGTAGGTTATTTGAGTGTTTGCTCATGTTCTCCCACTGCAGTTCACGTAGTATTTTTTTTCCTTCTATGCAACAGCTTGGGTTAGCGACTGTAGAACAATCACCGATGTAGCATACTAGCATGTCTATTTCTCTTTTACAAAGCAACTATCAAGGTGCAAATAAAAAGTTGTTTTGTAATTGAAATAATTCAATGTGTTTTTAATTAGAATTTATGTTGTCGTCCCCCCCCCCCCTTCCGATATGGTTGTTTTTCCCACTGGCATGTGTGACAAAAACGCTCCTCGAAATGCTTGGCGCTCAACTAGGCACCGAAAAGTATTTATGGGGGAGTTATAAAACTTGAACATTTATATAGCATAAAGCTGTTAACAGTTTCTAGCTTCTATAAGGTGAATATATTTTTTGTTGTTCTGTTTCCGAAATGGCGCCACTATCCTAAAAAATTATTCAAGTGGGAGCTGCCGATCCCCCTGTTTCACCGTGCGTATGCCTCTGAGAGAGAGGGGGGGGGGAGAGAGCAAGATGAGACAGAGCTGAGAGACAGCATGCTAAGCTATTTATAGAATATTGATTGAACTATTCAACAACTAAACATAATATCTTCCCTTTATAAACTTTATTAATTTTAAGGTTTGTAACATCTGTTTTGAACTAAAAGTACTGATTCTTGTTAACAAATATGGGCTTAACATTTTCTTTCAATTAATTTTTAAATTTTATTCATTGATTTGTATTTTACGCGTAAAGATTAATTGTAGTTAAGAATATTAATTCTAACAACTTTGTTTTTACATTTGTTTAATTTACACTCAAGAAATGTAATGAATAACAGTGTTAACACATTAATTCAAAATAACTCATGCTTTCAACCTTTTAAAAAAATAACATTTAAAACAATCTACTAAGTTTGTGTGCATTTCCTATGAATAAAACTTTTTTTTTATATTAACCTTAACATTTTAATAAATCAAAATAATCATTAGCTTTTTGTTTCTAAACGACTTAAATGACTATAAATTAAATTAAAACAAACAGAGCAAATCATAATAGTTATTACTATCAATCTAAATTTAAACTATACTTTTTTTTTAAATTGCACAATTTTATTCAAGAAGATTTATAATAATTAACTACAACGAACAAAATTAACTTTTAAATTTAAAAGCAAAATAAATATACTCTGACCATAAAAACTTTTTAATAAGTATACATATATATTCATACAAAATACTATTACATGAGCTGATAAAATTATATTGTTAGTTAAAATAAAAATATTATCATTCTTTATTGCTAGCCTCGCATCAGAGTTACAACAGTGGACAATATGTACAAGAAACTCCACATCAGCAGAATCCATATCAGCAACAACCATCATCGGCATATGCAAATTATTATCAACCACCAGCTCAACAACAACCAATGCAGCAGCAACCATTGCAGCAACAACCAATGCAGCAACAACCATTGCAGCAACAACCAATGCAGCAGCAGCAGCCACAACAGCAGCAGCAACCAGCACAACAGCAGCAACCAGCACAACAGCAGCAGTACGCTAACCAGCCAGGTAATATTGCTGTCGCCTTTCAGACACCTTTTCAGAAATGCGCGGCTTCATCATGGATTCATCTACAGAGTTTCTTCCATGCATCTCTAACGCACCCCCCCCCCCACCCCCACGAAATGGAATTTATATAGAAAAATACTTTTACCAGTGTCCATTCCCCCCCCCCCCCCCCCCCCCGGAAAATTAGACAAAATAATTACACATCCAGAGTAGTGAAATTACTATATAGAGACTAGGCGTTTAGTCCGTTGAGGAGGGAGATACAACGGGTGCCAGGCTAATAGTGTTCCAATTTTTATCTAAAGAAAAAACTAAAAATAAATCTGTATCTAAACCTAAACGTAAACCTAAGATCTTGAACCGAACATACAACAGAAATCGAAATTCAAACGGAAACGAAATATAAGTGGGAGAAGAAATCTATGTGGCAGCAGAAGCATATCTGGAAACAGAAATTTTAAATGAAATCGGGACTTAAACTGGATGCTGAACTGGAACAGGAACTTTAACCAGAACAGAAAAGTAACAGAAAACGGCAATGTAACCGGAATTAGAAACTAAAATAAAAAGGAAATTGAAACTGAACCGAATCTTTAAACGGAACAGGACCTGGAACCTCAACTTGAAATGGAAAGAAAATCACAACTAGAACCAGAATATAAACGTGAACCGGAGTTGAAACTTTTACACGAAGTGGAGCTTTAAATGGAACCCGTACTTAATCTACATTTATAACTTTTCCCCTCCATCTCAACCTAAACCTAAATCTGAACCTACCTTCGAACTGAAAATTTAACCGAAACTAAAATGTGACAGAAAACGGAAATTTACCTGGAAGCGGCAATTTATATGGGATCGGAACTTTAATCGGAGCCAAACCCGAAACAGGACCCGAACATTTATAGGAGCACTAAAAATAACCGGAAACAGAAACTTTAACCGCAGCTGAAATCTGAACTTTCAACAGTATTAGAGCTGCATCACGAACCTTAGCCCGAAGGTTGACGCGAATCGAAACCCTAACCCTAATTCGTTTCACGTGACCTCATTATGTTTGTCTGCGATAATTTTTTGTTCCTTATGTTTTCTCTAGAGCGTAACAGAATAGTGCATCTGTTAGATTTCTCTATATAGACATGAAAATTGACCTCTTGAGAGAGAAATACAACGGACTTTAGGGTAAAATTGATATCTTTTTTACTAAACAGAAAAAAAATAATCGGAAATTAAACTTTGACTGAAGTGTAAGGAAAATCGGAACTGAAAATATAACCCGACGTTTCATCGGAATTCGAATTTAAACCGGAAACTAACGGAAACGAAAATGCGACCGGAAAGGTTATAAAACTGAAAAGAAACAAAAACTATAGCCATAACTTTATCCAGTGCTTTCTTTTTGTAAAAATAAATTGGTGCCGGTACTCTGTGATGGATTGCCTAACTTTTAACTACTAGATCGCACCTCGATGCAAGCTAAATCACAACTGCAAAGATATTGAATTAACAATTATCAAATTAATGAAATAATAACTTAATAATTAACGCTAAAAAAGTAAAAAAAAAATGTAAAGAAACTTGTAATTTTCCCCCCACCAAATTTAAAAAGGTGCCGGTACGCCGTACCGGTGCGTACCGTCACAAAAAAAAAAGAAGAAAAGAACACTGACTTTACCCGTTCCAAAACCTAAAGGATATTTAATCGGATCCGGATAAGGAAATTGAACAGGAACTGGAAATAAAACTGGAACAGAAACTTTATTCTGAACCAAAATATTGCCAGACAGAAAATTTTATACAGAAACGGAATTTTATCTGGAAAAGGATATTTAGCAGGAGTCGGAAATTTTACCAGAACTGGAACCGGAACTTTAAACGGAAACGGAACTTTATTAGAACCATAACTTAAACTGTCACCTGAATCTAAGCCTAAATCTAAGCGATAACACCTGAACCGGAATGGGAAGTATAAACAGAACAGAATCTAACAGAAAACAAAATTTAATCGGAAACGGAAATTAATCCGACATGGAAATAGAATCGTAAACTTTATCCAGAACCGGAATTTAAAGAGGATCCTAAAATTTAACTATATCTTGAAATTTAACCTAATCTGTAAACTGATCTGGATACGGAAATTCAGAAACGAGAATTTTTTTTTCTTTCTGTAAACTAAAACTAATATCTACACATTAACTGAAATCTATATCTAAACCTAAACCTCTGAACCTAAACCGGAAATCAGAATTTAACCGGAAACTATTTGGAAACACAACTTTATCCGGGATATTAAACCGAAACTTCAGCCTGAAACGTAACTTTTACCTCAAAATGTCAATTGAACCTGAATTCAAACTTAAACAGAAAAAAGTAGCGGAAACCGGTATTTAACTAGGACTGGATCTATAAAGAAAAGCGTGGGTCGCTTCCAGTGGCGGAACTAGATAAAATGGGCCACCCTGCAAAAAATAATTTTGGGCCCCATATATATATATATATATATATATATATATATATATATATATATATATATATATATATATACATATATATATATATATATATATATATATATATATATATATATATATATATATATATATATATATATATATATATATATATATATATATATACATACGAATCGCGCCCCGGTTTACGCTGATGGTGAAAGAAACACCCCTCGGCGACGGCCTTGGTGTTAGAGGCGTCACGGGGCTCTTAGGACATGGCCACCGGCGGAGGCACCTAATGCAGCGAGACTGATGATTCAAGTAGTACAACTATCCCCCCCCCCCTTGTGCAGGACACCCAATAAGTGGATCCCTGGTGCTTAGATAGCCGCTGGGGATCTCTGGGCGCTCAACTACACATTTTAAACAAACGTTAGATCTCTGAGTACTCAAAAACTTCCCAATTTTCACCGCTTTTCCTAAAGCCTATTGCGAAACACTCAAGAGAGAGAATTCAAATTATACACGTTTACTATCGTATTTGTAAAACAAAAAGAAGTAAACGTACATAAAACCGAAATAGTACAGAATAGTAGTTCTACCAATACAACAAACGAACATTTTTCCTTATAAAATCACAATGGATTGTGGGCCCCTAATCGATGCTATAAAGAAGCAAAAGTCGTCTTAATATCTAGCGGCCTCAAGCGCGATGGACTTAAATTTATTTCAAAAGAATTTTGCCGGCAACAGCGTGTGTTTGATTGTAGGAGAAAAAGGACTCGGAGTAGTGTCTATAGAATAAAGGTAATCCAACCGCAGCTACAGTATTCTTTTTACAAAACAACCATCAAGTCAAAAATGCAAGAAAATTACTTTTTTTTTAAACTATTAAAAAATTGATTATAGTCGGCTGTGGGCCCCTAAAAGGCTTGCCCCCCCCCCCCCCCCCGCATTGCGGGGTCTGGCGGCACTGTAGTTCCGCCCCTGGTCGCTTCCTGAACATTAATAAAAGTATTTCTATATACATCATAGTGACCCATGCTCTTCTGTATAGTCACTTAAATAGTAGAGTATCATAATATATTTTTAAAAAATAATTTATTTTCTCCCTGGGGGTCATCCATAAATGAGGTCACGCTTTTTTGGACGATTTTTACCTCCCCCCTCCCCTCCGTTACACATCGTCACAAAAAGCCAGACCCCCCCCCCCCTAAAATGACGTCACACCTCAGCCTACAACCCCCCCCCCCCCCCTCAAAACTGCAGTTGGAGTTTTTTTTAAACATCGATATTTTTCCAAAATCTTGTCTGAACTCTGTCAAAATAGAGTATTTTAATCAATTTCTATTACAATTTATTAAAACAGTTTTCTAAAACGCGAAATAACGTCTAATATTCGTTTTCTAACATTGCTTTTTTATAATACAAAAGTGTGACGTCGCACCATCTGAACCCCCCCCCCCCCTTCTCCTCATCACACACCGTCACAAAATTACGGACCCCCTCCCCCTACGAGTGTGACGTCATTTATGGACGACCCCTTGTTAGTGCATTATTACATAAAAGCTTGTTATTAAAACGTTTTTATGCAAAAAAAAATGTATTACAAGCTTTTATTTTACTTGCTTCCTCTGCGGTCAGTCTGTCGTCATAGATCGAAACGTGCGAGCGAAGTTTCGGGCACTTCTGACAGATTCGTTTAAAGTTGGCCCGTGGGTCAAGATTTGAAGGCAACGATATGTTATTAAATTTGACGTAATTGGATGACTAATTTTTACTTCTCGTATATATGAAATATAGAGAAAGTCTTGTAACCGTGCAAAAAATAAACCGGGAGTGATCTCCCCTAAACTTTCTCGAATATTCTAATATAACACTACGGGGAATGGCAACTCGGGACATAGACAATATTTTAAATCCATTTTTAATTACTTAAACTTTTAAAAATAGAATCTCGTAAAAAAAAGAATAGCTCACCAAGTGAACGCCAAATATAATGTGCATAATAGTGCGGGATATTATTAGTACTTTATAAATTTACATGCGTTTTTCTGAGAAACCGGAAATAGCGTAAATTACTACGTCCAGTCGACGGAAATTACTCAAAATTTTCATAGAAGGCAGAGAATTAGAACTTTTACTTACATGTGAAATTTCATTTATTTATCTGAAATAGTACTCAAGTTATAGGCTTTTGAAAAATTGAAAGTAGAAAAAATTCCACTTCCGGTTATCGGAAATCGCTCAAACGTTGATAAGGATCTACGATTTTGATATAATACTTATATATGAAATTTCATCAACCTAGCTGTAACGGTACTCAAATTCACGTTTTCACAGACATACACACACACACGCACACACCCACACACGTGCACACACACAAACACACAGAGAAAGAGAGAGAGAGAGAGAGAGAGAGAGAGAGAGAGAGAATTGCATAAAACGCAGAAATTTTGATAAATATGGATTTATAATTTTTGCCCGATTAAAATAAGCCCCCTGTACTCCGCAAATGATGAAGTACTGAGGTGTAAAACTGTGAAAACTCACAATTTCATGTGAATTTTGTGCACGATTACAATACTTCCTCTGTATACGAGAATGTAAAAATTCAAAGCACTGAAAAAATGTGCACAAAAAAACATTTTAATAACCAGCTTTTATATAATAATCGTTGGAAAAGTAATATTTTCTAATTAAATTTTATTTTCTTTGGGGGGGGGGGGGCTGTGTGAACACTGAATATGATTATTAATTATGTTCAGATCGGAAAATATGTAGTTTGTATTGAGAGCATATAATGTTGTTATTACTTACGGAAAAATAATACATATTACAGGTACCTTTGGTCAGTCTCCACCAGCTACGGAAAATTTAGACCCATTTTCATCACAGTTTGACGTTAATGGACTAAAGCCAACTATATTTAATCCACAATATCAACCGCCACCACAACAGATCCCACAACAACCAGCACAGCAAGCGTTTGGACAATGTAAGGAACACTGATTTCATTACCCTGCACGCTTTCAAAATAAAATAAAATCACTAGAAATATTGAATATAATCATTTAGGATCCACTAGTGTTACGGGTCAGTTGTAGGTTAGATTAGAATAGGTTAGAATAGTCTAGAACAGGGGAGAGTGCGTGTGTGAGTGGAGTTCACCTTTCTGTGTAGTTACCCTTGTATGTTTATGTATTGTAATCCCAAGGTCGAATGCGGGTATAAAAGGGCGAGTGAACGATTGTGTGGGGTCGGTCAGCGGGTTAGTAGCGGTTAGGACGAGGGCTGTTCTGGTACGCTTGAGTGCATTGAAAAGAATAAAAGTGGTGAAGTTAGACACGAAGCGTTGTTGTTGATTTGAAACGAACGCAGAACGTAACAACTAGCGGTAAGTAGGTTTGAACAGACGTAATGTTTTGGGTAAACAAACTTTGAGCTGAATGTGTAAGAATTCAGCCTAACATACTACAGCTAGTGGTTTATATTACCACAAACCAGAGGCATAGCGAGGGAGGGGGTGGGAGTACATATGTCCCCAGGCGCCGACCCTAGGGGCGCAAAAATGGGTTGAAAAAAAATTAAAAGCTCATTCTAGCTACAGTTTTGCATTATAAATATAAAAAAAATATATGGGGGGGGGGGGGGGGGAAGCGCCAAATTGAAAGTTTGTCCTCGGGCGCCGGGAAGGGTCGCTACGCCTCTGCCACAAACTAATACTAAAAACCTGTATTACTTTTTCTAGCTCGAAAATTCACGTTATTTTTGTAGTAAGTTATATTATGAATACAAATAAAGTTGCCCAAAAGGGCCACTATAAGTATTTTTAATTTTTAAAATACAGGTGGATATATATCTAGTGGAAATCATCCCTCTTTAGAGTGACTATATGGTTGATTTTACATTAATGTCTAACTATTGTCTTACTGACATATGTTTGCATTTTTTAGCTAATACCAATGAATTTGCTGGATTATTGGACCAACCAACATATCGTCAAAATCCTCAGTCCCCTACAAATAAAGTTGATTTCGCTGCAAAAGGACCAAATCCTATACAGGTAATGATATGTATTTTTAAAGTTTAAATTTTATAAACTTCTAATCCCATATAGAGAGAGTTACCAACTTTCTAAGCACAGTCGTTCCCAATCTTTTTTCCATTGGCGAGCCCCTTTTTAAAAAAGTAAGTGACCCGCGCCCCCATAGAATTAAAAAGTCGAAATTAATAAGGAAATTAATCAGCACTAAAATAAGATTTTTAGTAGACTTTCAATATGAATTATTCTAGATAACTGATTTAATACGATGAGTAAAAGTGCGTGCTATTAACTAAACATTCACGGTTAAGTTTTTGTTAACGCCAACCTCATGTCATTATCAACATTTAATTTACTTCTTTATTTTGTTTTTGATTGGAGAAGTGTCGAAAATCCATTATCGTAATATATATATATATATATATATATATATATATATATATATATATATATATATATATATATATATATATACTAGCCAGGCCCTGCACTGGCATCTCTGAAAAACTATCTGCAAAAGACCATGACTTGTGTGTTTAGTATAACCAACCAAAACACAAAAAAGCGCAAACATAACAAAAACAGAGATACAAACACAAACGAAAACACAAAAACAAACGCAAACCATAAAGAAAACACAAACGCAAACAAAAAAGGAAACGAAAACAAACCCAAACCCAAATGCAAACACAAACCCAACCACAAACGCAAACCCAAATACAAAGAAAACACAAACGCAAGTAAACGGAAAGTGCTCATATTCTAGCCAGGGCCGCCAAATCGCACCATACTGAGGCCCCGGCGGAATCGCCTGATTCAACATAGTAAAGGACTATAATACCCCAACTTATTCTTAGTCTAATGCGCTAACTTAAACGAACGTAGGCGCCAAAGCGAACACGGGAAGGCCCAGGACGCCAAAAAAAAAAACACTATGTCAGGGCACCGAAGGACGCCCGGATTCGGCTCAGTTAAAGACTATAGATAAAGGTAAACATAGGGGATATTTAGGAGCTTTCTTCTAAACTGTTATTGATTTTTTTTTTAAATATTTGTGTTCATCTGATGGAAACTTTAAAGCTTTAAAACATAAACATAGCTCTTAAAAGAAATTTTTTCTTCGATCTTGCCTTTACAATCGAGAACGTAGTAAAACAGTACACTGATAAATGTACTATTAAAACGTCTGGTTAATAAAAGGTACGCACTATGGTAAGGTAAAAAAAATTCACCTTCGTCAGCAAAAAAAAAAAAAAAAAAAACAGACAAAAACAAATTCCCAAAAAAAAAAAAAGAAGACACAAAAAATAACCTGCGGGAATTCCCGTTCCCGAATAAAAATGTCTTTGATTAAAAATAATAAAAAGAAAACAGTACGTTCAGTGCATGGAATAAATAAAAGGCAGTATTGAAAATACCAACAACATTGCATTTGATCAATCCCCGCTAATTATGTAATTATTTTTTTCTAACACCATATATATATATATATATATATATATATATATATATATATATATATATATATATATATATATATATATATATATGTTACCACTGCCGACAGCGCCAAATGTTTCCACTGCCGACAGCGCCAAATGTTACCCAGTCTATTTACTTGTAGTGCCAAATGTTACCGAGTGTATTTACTCGTGCTACCTTTGACCAGCACACAACATCGACCACAATATAGATACTCGGAAGTGCAGGTTTACATTGATCTCTTTATTACATGAATCAACAGAAATGCTCCACATAACAATGCATCAATGTTCCACAAGAATACAATGAATCAACTGACCCCCACTGTCCTCACTAGTCCTCACATAACAGAATGCACGTGTCCATCGTTCCTATTCTCACATAACACAATACGTCTACACCGTTCAGTCTCCAACTTGGTTCTGCCCCGTCTCCAATACGCAGCCTTATATTATATCCCTCGTATACGCAATACTTTCCATTCGTTGCATCAGACTATGAACTGCGCAGCGGCTTTGTCGTATCGCTTCCCAAAATACGCCGTGGCTTTGTGTTCTTATCAGTCCACCACCTGCACTATTGCGTCAGACTGTAATGCGTTCTTACAATAGTCTTTAGTTGACAGACTGTATTACGTTCTTATCGTCCCTAGTAACTACACTAGTTACATCCACCCCCGCCTTTTTTTTGTGTGTTTTCAACCACAAACAACGCTTGGCAGGTGCACTCCTTCAATGTCAAACGCAACACCGTAAAAAAATTTTTTACTGTTCCACTCACTGTCAATGTCGTCACATTCGTATAAGATTGACAGTTATCCCTATTTCAACATATCAAATGTGTCTACCTCATATTCCTCAGACACAAAGCAGTTCTAGAATTCACATCCACCTCCGCCTTTTTTCGTTTGGTGTCATCACCAGTTCAGTTTTATAGCTTTTGAACAGTCTGTTCTCATCCCAGCGCGACCATGAAAGAATTGATGGTTGCTGACGAAAAATTTCGTATTCTTTCTGTTCCTCAAACTTCTCCGCGGACCACTTATCTGATGTTCTACTGTCTCTCTGCTTCTGGGAGGACCGGGATCCTCATTGTTGCAGTTATTCTTCACTTGTGTATCGCGGTTGTGCTGTTGATGGTGACATGGTTCCGGGATGGGTATGTGAATTTCCGTTGTAGTTTCCGGTTTCCTAATTGTCTTAGGTTTCTTTGTGTGTAAATGCTCTTCTTGACTATGCCAATACTTCTTTAATTGAGTAATATTCGCCCACCGATCCGGTTTGGTGTGATTGGTGGGTCTTATTTTAATGGGGCCACCTGCTACTTTAGGCATCTCCACGACTTGCCATATCTCCTGTCCCCAGAGATCGTGGATTTTGTTTCTGCCTAATGGGTGGCTACGCAGTAATACTTTGTCGTTTAGTTGGAGTGGCGGGTCTTTTGTCTGTACCGGCGGTTCTCTTCGCCGTGCTTCATGTTCTAGTCTTCCTTGTACCACCCTGTACATTTCTCTTATTCGTCTCATATGTTCATTCACATATTCCAGTGCGGTGTATGAGCCAGTCATGCTTTCCTTTTTTCCTAGGAACAAGTCAAGAGGGAGTCGAGCCTCCCGTCCGAACAGTAACATGTGTGGCGAAAAGCCGGTTGTGGCATGGGGGGTGCAGTTGTATAGGTATACCAACTCTGGGAGAAAATCAGGCCAACGTTTTTTCTGTTCCGGTTCTAGAGTACGCAGTAAATCATGCATGCTGCGGTTGAACCGCTCGCACTGTCCGTTTCCTTTAGGATTATATGTGGTTGTTCTAGATTTGTTGATCCCGTAGTGGCTGCACAGTTGGTTAATTACTTCTGACTCAAAGGCCCTTCCTTGGTCAGAGTGTAATTGTCTTGGTATGCCATATTTGATGAACCAATGTTCTATTAAGACCTTTGCCACTGTTTTAGCCGTCTGATCTCGTGTGGGCACCGCCACAGTCCATTTGGTGAATACGTCAGTCATCACCAACACATATTCCGTCCCATCCGATGATTGCTCCAACGACGTAAAGTCCATAGCCACAATGTCTAGGGGTTTTGTCGCCAGTAAGTTTCCTGATGGCTGTCTCATTTTGACAACTGGCATTTTCGCATGCTGACACCTCACACAAGCCTCACAATGGCGTTTGACCTCCATCTCCATATTGGGCCAGTAGCACCGCCGTCGTAATATTTTGTGCGTCCTGTCCTGACCCTGGTGTCCCGCCCTGTCATGTGCCAACTTTAGCACTTCTTCTCGTAACTGTCCAGGCACCACCACCTGGTGTATTGTCCCGTCTATTTGGTCATGAATTCTCCGCATGAGAACACCATCCTTTATACTGAGACGGTCCCACTGACTCAGTAGTTTCTTTGTTTCCCGACCAAACTGTTCTCTTTCCCTTCTTCTTGGGAATTTTTGTTCCTGGACGTATTTCAACAGCGGCTGTAACCCACTATCCGTTCTCTGGGCATCTCTTATCTCTTTATGATTAAGGCAATTAAAATCACTGATGTCCATATGTCGGGGCTCTGTGGATATGTGCTCCACCCCGGTCTGCCCGTTTTGCATCACTTGCACCCCGTGAGGGATATCTGTTGACGCTCTGACCTCACATATTCCTGTCAGCGTTTCTTCCTCATCGCCCGGTCTCTCGTAAGGATTCCTTGATAAAGCGTCAGCATTACCATTGGAATGCCCTGGGCGATATTTTATCTCCAGGTCAAAGAGTGCCAATTCTGCTGCCCATCGCTGTTCGATGGATCCCAACTTTGCTGTCTGTAGGTGACTCAAGGGGTTATTGTCAGTGTATACCACACATTTAGCACCTAATAGATAGTCCCTGAATTTTTCAGTCACAGCCCATTTCAATGTCAAAAGTTCTAGTTTCATGGCGCTTTAATTTGTCATGTTCTTCTCTGATTCCTTCAGAGCCCGACTGGCATACGCAATAACCCTGAAACCTTGCTCCTGTTGTTGTGATAGTACAGCTCCCAGACCTTTAGAGCTGGCGTCAATTTCTAGCCGAAATGGTTTGTCAAATTCTGCGTATCCCAATATCGGCGCCTCTGTCAAAGCCTTTTTCAGTAGCTTAAACGAGTTCAGGCATTCCTCAGTCCATAATTCACCTATCAGTTGTGTTTTACCTTTCTTTTTCTCCTTACTGTGTTTCTTTGTCATTTTGTTTACTAAGTCATGCAACGGTGCGGCAATTTTTGCAAAACCAGGTACAAATTTTCTATAATAGGAAGCAAAGCCCAAGAATGATCTGACCTCTACTGTGGTTGTTGGCTGTTTCCATTCTTTAACAGCTGCAATTTTATCTGGGTCAGTGGCGATGCCATCAGGCGAAATCAAATAGCCCAAAAAATGTACCGATTTCAAACCGAAGCCGCATTTGTCTGGGTTCAGCTTTACTCCTATCTCTCTAAGACGGAGAAAAACTTGTTCTAATCTTTCTAGATGGTCCTCCCAAGTTTTTGAGTAAACTAGTATATCATCCAAGTACACCAACATTATT